TAAGGAAACTTATCTTTCAATTTTGTAATATGATGGTATGAGACACCATTACAGGTCACCGCTATTTACTTACGAATTCCATTCCTAATACCTGTTGTTTTTTCTGTGTAAAAGAACTTTTTCAATATTTGAAACAGAGTTAGGGTTAATATTAATCAGATCAGAAATATAAATATCAAGGGTGTTAACTCTTTGATCAGTAGTTTATTGTTGAGTAATGCTAATTTTAGGAATATTTGTGACGCTTAATTCATCATTAAAACTATATAGTTTGAAAACAAGGTATCGTTAGTTTTGTTAATTATTATTTTGGCCACTTTCTCTTTTTGTATATTAGTCAATGTTGGCAATTGTGTCTTGTATATTAGGCATTTTTTCTTTCGATTCTTAATATATTGTTGATGACAATTAGGATATTCCTTTATATTAGTGATATTAGTTCCTATAGATATTATAAGAGAATCAATTGCATTAGTAGAGGATGATTTTTCTTCAGATAATAAATTAAGAATATTAGCAAGATAATTATATAATTCTTTATCGATAGCTTTTTGCATTTGAGAGTTAATATCAAAAAGTTCTTCAAGCTATAACTTATTAAGGGAGTAATATACCCAAGATGAATTAATATGTTGAATTTTGTTTTGTGATGACATATTAAAAGTGATGAAGCTGGTAATGATATGGTAAATTACTGTATTATAGCCTTAATCAAGATAATTTTTTTGCCCTTTTTGTTTATTATTAAATGCAAGAAATAAAGTCCTTCAGATAATGATTTTTCTTGCTTTGATAATTCTTACAGCTATTTTTAAAATCAAAAGTAATTTTCTGAGCTTGTAATATGATTGTCAATATTGATAACTATTTTTGATCATGTGATTAAATACTTAATAGCTGAAAGGGCAAGTTGGATTTTTGAAATATACTTTCTATGTCATGCATCATATATCGAATTAACTGTAACAGCAGTTTTAAAAAGTTTTTCTTGACTTAAAGTATTAGTACTTTGAACATTTTGAACCAAAGTTTCAATAAATGCTATAATAACTTTATTACGCCTATTGAGCCATTCACGAGAACTATATATCATAAGTTTCTCTATAAAAATCTATTGCTATCTTGAATTAGTAATTCTAAATCATTAAATAATAATACGCGTTTTGTGTTTACTATCTCAATAATCATATCGATACATTTTTGCTAGTCAGTAAATCTTAAATTCCATTGTCTAATAAGAACTTCATTATTTTTACATTGTTCATCATATAAGTTTTGCATTTTACTCATATTATTATAGGCCGCTGTAATTGTTTCTGTTATTTCATTTTTTTGGTCTTCTATATAATTTTGCATTTGTATAATGATTATTAAAGTTCGCTATTGACTGTGATTTCTGCTGACTTTCTATTTGCATAGATTTTAAAAGTCTTTTGGCTTCATCAAAATCAGCAATTAAATCGATATCATTATTTTCAAACTGGAGCCTTTTATTCTCTTGAACGGAACCTATAAGATGCTAATAAAACTGATTAATAGCAATGGTTTGATTATAGTGCCTTTCACAAATTGAATAGACATTCAAAGAAAAATGACAGTTAGCAAGTTCAGGAAGGTAAGTATAATGTTGTAAAAGCTTCTTAGCTGTATTTTCATTATCAGCATATCTCCATTTTTGTGATTCTTTAGTTTCACAAGGTTTAATCCAATTTCATATTTTTCAGCTAGATCTGCAAAAATGCATTGAAGATTTCTTGCTTTGGGTTTTAGATAAGTAAACACTACAAAAAAAATTATTTAAATTAGTTGAATAAAATTTTGTTCTTTCATTTATGCTATTTAATAATATATAAAGCAAATACTCAGTTTAAGTGCTCATTTACTTTAACAGAATAGACTTTACTATGTGGGATTATTTGTGATTATGAAAACTAGACGTCTTGTTCTATCTGTTTGAAAAGTTTTTATATCGAACAAATATTGTAAAAAATTTTTTCAAAATACAAGTATAAAATGAATAATGAGCCAATCAAATTTCAAGAATCTGCAATAAAATATTCTAGAACCCGTTTCCTTTTTTGGTATATCCCCTGACTGAATTTCAACGTGAAGTTAATTTTCATGAAAATATTATTAGCTTTTATGGGATAACTTTAAAATAAAGTACGTAATTGTTCATATTAAAGTTTATAAAGATTACATTTTTACATGTTTATTTATTTATTTTATTTTTAACTATTTTAAAAATACTTAGATAATCAAAATGTTAATTCAAAAAAGTATTTAATAGTGCACTTGAAAACTATTTGAAGGATTATTTTGAAAAGCTTACTTGGAACGATAAATATAACTTTGCATTCCAGTTGGCTGATGCTGTGACATATTTACACGAAGAAGAAATTGTACATCGTGATTTGGTAACCTTAAATAAAATATATCTTACTTGTTTATTATTGCTGTTAATAATTAATAATTAATGTTGTATACATTAGTATTCCGGCAATATATTAATTCGTCAAAGTAAGATTAAAATTGCTGATTTCGGATTATCGAAAAGAATAGAAGTGGTAACTAAACTACAGTCAAAAGTCTTTGGTGTACTTCCTTATATTGATCCAAATAGATTTGGCATAAGTGACAGTACATTGCAACAAGATTCATTAACTGAGAAAATTGACGTTTACAGTGTTGGTGTGCTGCTTTGATAGATATCAAGTGGCTATCCTCCTTTTGAAAATGAACTATACGATTATGTTTAGTTGGAAAGATTTCAAAAGGGCAAAGAGAAAATAAAGTTCCTGATACGCCTGAAGATTATGTTAAAATTTATAAAGGTAAATATATTTATATAAAATTTTAAATAAATGTTTTCGAGTATTAAATTGTTTATATAATTTTAGAGTGCTGGGATAAAGAACCTGATAAACGTCCATCAATGAATCAAGTAGTTCATAAATTAAAATGCCATTGTTATGATAACAAACATAACAGCAAATAATCAGATGAATATTGATGATGAAGCAATTCAATTATCAGCACAGCTTCATTATTCGAGTAATATTAATGCTTCTTCTAGTATTAATAATTCATTACATGGAGATTTATCTCGATCGATAAACAATTTGCATAAGATAAAAGTAGAAGAATTAGATGATGGTAATGTTAATGCTTCTTCCAGTATTAATAATTACTTACATGGAGGTTTATCTTGATTGATGAACAATTTCAATCAGATGAAAGTAGAAGATTTAGATAATAGTAATGTTAATGCTTCTTTCAATATTAATAATTCATTACATGGAGATTTATCTCGATTGATAAATAATTTTGATCAAGAAGAAAGAAGAAGCAGGGGTTCAAGATAGCTAATGCATTTAATGCCGGTCGTTTCGTGAAATTTTTGAGGTTCTGCTACAAACAATCGTGTAACATAAAAATTCTTTCAAAAACATGTAATTTCATCCATTAGGTTGAATATTTGAACAATACTCCGTTTGTTTCATTTTCTCTTGACAAAAAGAAAATTATCCAATGTATCCAAGCAAAGTTCAAGACGAAATCTGTAGCACATCATTTGACTAATGTGTCTTTTAAAAACGTACGCTGCTGGCTTTTTGCAATTTTTAATTATTCATATCATAATCTAAAAATAAGAACAAGACAAAGTTGTCTAGCTTCAAAAGAAATAAGGAGTAAAGAAAAATCGAAAGCTCTCAGATGAATAACATTTTTGGTGTTTTGGCTAATTTCTATTTAGATTCAATTGGAACAGTTGCGACATCATAAAGCTTACATTTGTCAGAACGTAGATGATAAGTTGAATGAAAATGAGATGAATATCCTATGGTTGACAAGGTCAGATATCAAAATGTTGAAATATACAATATTTTCATCAGCATGATAACATGGTTTGTCCTTTTCGGAAAATTATATTGAGTATTTTACCATCCTTTCATTGGTGTGATCAATAAATCAAGCCAGAAAGTGTCGTACTCGAATATTCAGTACAAGGAAGCTCACTGGTCGAAAACTGGATGAAATTGTTTTTGCTATGCTCTATATAACCAAAAAAAAAAAAAAAAATTGATTTTCAAATCACGTTACGGAAAATCATATGATTTACTATGTTCGTGACATTTTTAAATTGAAATTATTTTGAAAACGATCGGCGTAATCTTTTCTGTGAAAATTTTATTTTAAAATGGTCTTTAAATTTTTTTCTGGATTGTCTCAAAATTATTGTCAGTTGCTCGATAATGCAGAGAATTATGATGTTATCATTAAAGTTGGAGAGAATCAAAATACAAAAGAATTTCATGTACATTCTATCATCTTGAAAGTTCGATCAATTTACTTTAAGAGAGCTTTCTCAGAGAATTGGATTGTGAAGAAAAATAATATCATTAACTTTGAGAAACCAAATATTTCTCCTACAATTTTTCAAATGATTATTGGGTAAGGATTTCCTGAGTTCCTAACCCAACTTCTGTGAACATAAAATAACTCTTTAAACTTGCTCGCTATTATAAATTAATCTTTAATTTTTTTTTTTTTTTTTTAAATTTAGATATATTTATGCTGGTATTCTTGATTTGGACGAAAGTGATGTCAATGATATCCTAGATCTTCTTATAGCATCCGATGAGTTACTTTTTGCAGAGTTGGTTATTTTTGTACAAACGTATTTGATTGACAATCACAGAGAATGGTTACAACAAAATTTTGTCAAAGTTCTTCACGCAATATTTCAAATAGAAAGTTTTAAACAACTTCAAGATTATTGTTTAGACCATATTTGTAATTTTCCTGAAGTTTTTTTTAATTTACCAGATTTTTCAAAATTAGAAAAAAGAATTCTACTTGAATTACTCAAGAGGGAAGATATTCAAATTGAAGAAATCGAATTATGGAATTATCTTGTCAAATGGGGAATAGCTCAAACTTCGGAATTAAGGGAGAAGGACGTGTCTGATTCAAGTAGTTGGAATGTAGAGGATTTCATGTCTTTGAAAAATACTTTGAATCAAATTATTCCGCACATCCGATTCTTCGAAATTCCTTCAAAAGATTTTTATCTTAAGGTTTGGCCTTTTAAGAAAGTGTTGTCTCAAGCTTTCGTTGAAGATATTTTGTCATTTCATATGACAAGTGCTCTACCTAATCAAATAACGTTAATCCCTCGTCATGGAAGAATTACCGTTGATTCAACGATAATTAATTCGAAACATACGGCCATCCTTAATAACTGGATTCAAAGGGAGGATGCTAACGCAAAAATCTCAAATGATAGTAAATATGATTTTACACTTATTTATCGTGGAAGTAGGGATGGTTTTGATAGCAATCCTGTGATTTGTTCATGTAAAGGGGGGAATAAAGCAACTCTTTTGATTATTAAAATCAGTGATGATGATGAAACTATACTTGGTGGTTATAATCCTATTGGTTGGAAATATAATAATAATTTTTATGACCAATGGGCGTCTACTAGTGAAAGTTTTATTTTCTCTTTTAAAAAAGATTTGACAAATGCCAAGATTAGTCGAGTATTAAATGGCTCTAAGGCAATATATGAATCGAGCGCATTTAAATTTAATTTCGGCAATAGCGACTTGGTCGTTAATCATAAAAATAAGGGTGGTACGTGTAAGAAAAGACATTATGAAAGTAGCATCTTAGATTCGGAGAATTTTATGTTTGAAGAAATGGAGGTTTTTAGAATTTTTAAAAGTAAACAGACATTGTGAAATTTTTTTTTTTTGTAAAGCAACGCCTGAGAGTTTCATTTTAAAAATAAAATTTATATTAGAACTGACCGAATTCTAAACTGTTAGCGATAAAATAATATCTGCAAATGATCTTTATATTTTCAAAAAAAAAAAAATTAATTATAAACTGAATTATTGGAAATATTTTGATCTTTTATTTTGAAATCGAATTATCGATCTTCCAACAATTAAAGGATGTCGAAATTTTGGACACGTCAGGTATCGGTAAATCGAGGTTTCCTGCCTGATTAACTTACATTATGCAAAAGATTAATGACATGGTCAATTTTTTAAGTGTCCAATTTCATCGCTAGAAACTTTGACGAATTATACTACCCCAAACGATACATAAGAACAGTAAATTCTGATCGTCAAAATTATCAATAGCAAAAAAACTTAAGAGTTCGTGAAGAATCTTACTTTTAGCATGTCGTCATACTTGTCGACAGATCACAATCTTTTTTAATATCTAGATCTAAGTAAATATTTAAAAAGATATTTTTTTTTTAATTTTCTTCTTTGAAAGTGACCTTATTATAAGATTATTTGACAGCTTGATTAATGGTTAAGGATTTAATGCATGCACTTTTTAAAAAGCATTATTATCATGGTTAGAAGCTTCTCGGCAGTGTTGATACCTGAACTTGGTGATGAAGCGGGTAGCATGCCAAGATACGTTCTTTTGATATCAGTAATAAGGATCAACCAGCTGTGTTCAAGAATCAAGACAATGACTTTAAACGTTTAGAGAAAAGTCCTTTTGGAAATCAGCAATTTCAGCAAGTGACCTTTTTGATAAATCAGAAAAATCTAGCAGATGAAATTCTAAAATTTGAATTTAATGATTCGTCTCTTCAAGGTTGTGGTCAAACATAGGACTACGTTAAAGTTTTGTATGCTAATTTCCGAAAATGATTTATTCCATCAGATCCGAAATATATTGTATCTATCATGTTGACGGTGGTGTAACTTGGAAAAGTAAGTTGGTATATAAGGTGTCATGAAGCAAATTCTTTATTGTTTCATTCTGCTGGATGATTTAATACCAAAAAAAAAATTTTAAAGGTCATAAAGTCATACGGTCCTTAATAATGGTGGAAAAAAATTTTTATTATGCTAACCTTTCATCCTTTTTAAAAGCTCATCCTCTCTAGCAACCTCTCCTATAACGTTAATAGCCGCTGGTTTATAACTGTTATTTCTGCAATTACTTTTGGATTTCAGAACCAGTTTTGTTTCGAAACTGGATTTGGTCAGGCCAAATACGATGGCTTGAAGAAGCAAAGCCCATACCGTACAACACTCTGAACGACTTAAACCAGACTTAGCTTGCATAGTAATTTCGCAGGAAATTTTCTTGGATATAATATTGAGTGCGTCAGGTTAAGGTCGCAATATGCTTTGACCTATCGTTTTCTTGACTTTCGGGATTATAGTTTTCGGGATTTTGAATTCGAGATTATGTACCTTGGATTTGGGATTTCGTATCAGATCTAGGTATACAAAATTACAGTACCGCACAATAAAACTGAACGAACATTTCCCCAAATGAAAATATAATTGGTCATTTCATTATTTTTATTATGATATTCAAACATTTATATATTTTATATATTTAGAAATGTCATACCATTCATTAACACAATTTGATAAACTTTTATTTCTTATTATGATTATGAATTATTTTCCGGACTGTCTCAATACTTTTCTCAACTGCTTGATGATACGGAAGATTATAATGTCATTATAAAAGTTGGAGAAGATTCAGATACAAAAGAATTTCGTGCACATACTATGATCTTGAGAGCTCGTTCACTTTACTTTGAAATTGTTCTCTCAGAAATTGGATTACTAATAAAAATGATATGATTAAATTTAAAAAAGCCAAATATTTCTCCTACCATTTTTGAAATTATTATCAGGTAATACATATTCGAAAAGAATTTTAATAGTAAATTAAGTTATAATTTTTCTTTTTTTTTTATTTATTTTGCTAATTATAGGTACTTGTATACGGGCATTCTTAATCTGAACAAACAAACTGGCTCCGATATTCTTGTTCTTCTTGTGGCATCCGATGAATTACTTGAGAAACTGATTTATCTCGTACAAAGCATTTGTATGAAAAACAAAACGAATGGTTACAATAAAATATCATCAAAATACTTCACTTGATATCTCAATTGGAAAGTTGTAAACAACTTAAGAACAATTGCTTGGAATCATCGGTAATAATCTTGAATCATTTCTTGACTTTCCGGAATTTCAACATAAGAATAAAATATTCTGCTTGAATTACTTAAGGAGCAGATTTAAACATTGATGATAGGGATGTTAAAATCCAGTCCGGTCCTAGTCCGGTCCCGAAACTCCCAGTCCTAAAGAAGACCCGGTCCATAGGACTTGGGTCCTAGGACTGGATTCAAGGACCAGGTCCCGAGACTGCAGTCCTAGGACCAGGACTTCGTAGGACTGTTTAGGACCTAGTCCCATGGGACTTTTTAACATCCTTAATTGATGAAGTCTTATTAAATGAGGTATCGCTTGAAACTTCTGAATTGAAGGAAAAGGATGCGAGTAACCAAAGTACAAACAGGACTTCTTGGCTTTGAAGAATACTTTGAATCAATTCATCGAACATATTTGATTCTTCGAAATTCCTTCAAAAGATTTTCATAGCAAGGTTCGACCTTTTAAGAAAGTTTTGCTTAAAAACACTATTTGAAGATGTTATGCCGTTTCATATGGCAAATACTCAATCTAGTCAAGTTATATTGCCTTCTCGTCATGGAAAAATTGCTGTTTGATTCGATAATAATTAGACCAAAACATGCTGCCATCCTTACAAACTGGATTCAAAGGAAAGACGCCTATACGAAAATTTCTAATGGGTAATAAATATAATGTTACCCCTCATTTACCGAGGAAGTAGGGATGGTTATGATAACGGTGCTATAAATAGTACATGTAAATGGCATAAAGATTGTATTTTGATTTTTAAAATTACAGAAATATGAGGCTGTGATTGGTGGTTATTCCTTCTTATATGGAAAGAGTTGAAAATTTGCATATAGCTGTTATCGGCGACGGATAAAATTCATATTATTTGGTACAAAACTAGTGAAAGATTTATCTTTTCTTTAGGTAATGGAAAAGGTTTGAAAAATTTTATGATTAGTCGAGTTACGATAACAGCAGAGCAATATCTACTGATAGTCCACTGAATTTTGGCAAAAGCTTGGTTATTAATGGTAAAACTGGCACGTGCAATCAAAAATATTATGAAAACAGAATTTTAGATACGGAAAAGTTTAACCATCGAAGAAATGGAGATTTTTACATTCAAGTTTGGGTAATTTAAAATTATTGAAAATAACCTTATAAAATAAAATTGTATAGTTTATTAATTAAAATCTTTATAATTTTAACGAAGTAAACTAATTTATCCGGATTAAACCGGTTAGACAATTTATTAATGTGGTAAATATAAATAGTTAATTACGGTATATATATATTTTTTTGGATCAATTTTTCAAGCAGTTTCTGCGTGAATTAACGCGCGAGTCTATTGCGTTTTTAATATTATGATATTTTTGATATCGTTGTCGTTTAATTCAAATCTCCTATAAATCTAATATATTAGCATAGTTATTTCTGATATTTTTCTCGTTCTTGTTATTCATTATTTCTAGTTAAAGATGACGTTAATTTCCCTATATAGTAAGTTTTTGTGTATTTTTCTAGTCAGAATATTCTCACCAGTTGAGGAGAAACCCATCAATGGATTGGGCTATTCAATCATTCTTATAGATTTTAAATATTAACGTTAAATTTCAGGTACTGAATTTAGTTGATCCCTCATTTTGGAGGCAGTTATATTGGATTAAATTTGCCCGGAGTTAAATTCATTTATTTTAAATTAACTGGTACCAACCTCTATTGGAACCTTGTGTGCAGTCACACTTAATAAAGCTTGCCTTGAATTTTTTTTTTTTTTTTTAATATTTACATTATCACAATATGAAGAAGTTGCTCAAGTCTTTAAATTCTATACTGGATTTTTCTCAATTGCTTGATGAATATAAAGAATCTGATATATTATCAATTTGCTAATTCAAATTTTTCTCCGATTAAGTTTAATTTCGACTAATATTTGACCCACATAAAAGAAAGGTGGTTACTGGGTAAACTGTTTTAGGATCGTTGCTCTAGCATAGTATTAATCAACTGCAAATTATGTTAAAGGTTACACAATACGTACAATACAATAAAGCTTGATTTTATTGTGATCGCCCGTATTGTATTTTTTTTTTCTTTTGTTATAACAATGACTTCTAACCAAGATCTTACTCAGAATTTTGAATTTTACCCAGGATTATCTCAACACTTTTCTCAATTGTTAAATGATAATGATGATTATGATATTATTATCAAAGTTGGAGCTAATACGGATGCAAAAGAATTTCGAGCGCATTCTCTTATTTTGAAGGCTCGTTCACCTTACTTTTAAAAGGTCTCTCGCAAAGAAAAAAAGATGGTATCATTAACTTTGATAAACCAAGCATTTCTCCTATAATTTTCGAGATGATTATTAGGTAATATATTAGTATGAAGTTTACTAAATTGTCCAGTAACATTCCTAAATGAATGCTCTTTTCTACCGTTAAAATAATCTAAAATTTGAATAATGATTTAATTTAATTTTTTTTTTTTTTGATCTTAGATATATGTTATACAGGAATTCTTAATTTGAACAAACAAATTGGCAACGATATTCTTGAACTTCTTGTGGCATCCGATGAATTAATGATTGAGGAACTGATTAACTTCATAAACGAGCATTTGTTTGGAAAACAAAATGAATGGTTACAACAAAATATCGTCAAAGTACTTCATACGGTATCTCAATTGGAAAGTTGTAAACAACTTAGAAATAATTGTTTGGAATTCATCTGTAATAATCCTGAATCTTTTTTTGAACTGCCGGAATTTCCAATATTAAAAATAAGTATTATGCTTGAGTTACTTAAAAGAGAAGATTTAAACATTGATGAAATTAAATTATGGAATAATCTTATTAAATGGGGAATTGCTCAAACTTCTGAATTTAAAGAAAAGGATGCGAATAACCTAAGTAATTGGAACAAACAGGACTTCTTGGCTTTGAAGAATACTTTGAATCAATTCATCGAACATATTCGATTCTTCGATATTCCTTCAAAAGATTTTTATGACAAGGTTCGACCTTTTAAGAAAGTTTTGCCTAAATACTCTTTGATGATGTTGTGTCGTTTCATATGGCAAATATTCAACCCAGTCAAGTTATATTGCCTCCTCGTCATAGAAAAATTGCTGTTGATTCAATAGTCATTAAACCAAAACATGCGGCTATCCTTGCTAACTGGATTCAAAGAACGGATGTTAACGCAAAATTCCAAAGAATAACAAATATAATTTTAAACTCATTACCGTGGAAGAAGTGATGGTTATGATGTCAAAACCATGCGTGTTAAATGTTATGGAAATGGAGCGTGTATTTTGATTATTAAAACTAATGAAAATGATGCTGTAATTGGTGGTTATAATCCTCTTGGTTACAATATAAGAACTTGTCATAAAAATGCCTTTTATCAGGAGCATACTGAAGAAAGTTTTATTTTTTCTTTTGATAAAAAATACTCGAAAATTAGTCGAGTTGCAAATGCAAATCATGCAATTTATGAATCTTATAATTCTTATGAACATGCGTTGGATTTTGGCGGTGGGGACTTGGTTATTAAAGGTAATGCCGGCACATGCAAAAAAAAAAAATTATAAAAGTAAAATTTTAGATACGGAAAAATTTACCATCAAAGAAATGGAGATTTTTTCATTTAAGGTTGATAAAATTATTTAAACTATTTTGTAAATTTCTTTTTATTTTATTTGCATAACTTTATTTAGTTTACACAGTACATTATGATTTATCTTATTATAAGTAAAATCGTTTTCCTTATTTAAGCTAAAGTTGGTCAAATATCAGACCCACGCTAACGTCTAACCAATTTATGCTAATGCAGACATAATAATTTAAGGTTTTATTAAATATATATATATATATACATATCGTAAATATTGACGAATATAGGTTTTATTCTAAATTACCGAATAAGTTAAAAGCGAGGTAGAAAATTTATCAATCTGAGCATAATCACGAAACCTCAAAAAAAAGTACAGATGGTGCTCGAGGCGGGTCATATACCGTCAATATTTAGAGAACTCAACTCGAATTATAAGGTTAATATTAATGCCAAATGATAATTAATTTTTATTTTGCAATAATCAATAACGTTTATTTGTCCTAGTTTGAACATCAATCCAATCGCCAAGGATTCGTTGCTTTTTGAATCATTTAACTTGCAAAGTTTTTTTTATGAATAAAATTATATTCAATTATTTTTTAAAAATAGTTCCGAAAAGTTAAGACACCACATAAAGTTCAAAGAAGTTCTTGATATAACTGATTATTTGGAAATTCACGGTGAAACAAACTTGTCTTCTTGTAGTATTAATTTTCGCATGTTACATTACACTTAAAATAAATAAAATAAAGCCTCTATTTTTCCTCTTTTTATTTTTTTTTTGTTTTCTTCTTTAATAAATCTCGATATTAAATATAATATGACTATTATCAAGCTCCTAATAATAAGGCCTTTGAATTTTACCTGGATTATCTCAAAATTTTTCTCAGTTGCTCGATAATGACGATGATTATGATGTTGTTATCAAAGTTGGAAAATTTTCAAATGCAAAAGAGTTTCGTGCGCATCCTATTATTTTGAATGCACGATCACCTACTTTAAAAGAGTTCTCTCATTTGTAAACTTGGTCTAATGTTTTTTCTACGAGTAGTTTTTTACAGTTCGTTAATAAGTCATTTAAAGTTTGGGTGTTGGACTGCAAATGGCTTATTTTCTCCGCGCTGTGGTGTTCCTGTTCTATTGGTGAAATTTCAAGCCCGCTTCATTGTCCGCTTGTTGCTTGCTGTGAAACATTTGGGTCTACATCATTTAAAAACTGATTTAAAAGATTGTGTATTTGCTTAGTAATAGTTATATTTTTTCTTTAAGCGATGGAAAAAATTCGAAAAATTTCAAGATTAGTCGGGTTGTTAATAGTAAATATGCATTAAATTGTCAAAAAATCTTCTTAAATTTTGGCAAAAGTGATTTAATTGTCAAAGGAAATGTTGGCACATCCAAGCAAAAATATCATGGAAAAAAAATTTTGGATACAAACAATTTTACAATCAAAGAAATGGAAATTTTTGCATTCAAGGTTGAGTAATATAAAAATTTCTTTATTACGAGGAATATTTATTTGCATAAATTCTATTCATTAATTATTATACACAAATTTTCTACTGCTGTACATTAAAGTTTTATCAATAGTTTTATCAACAAAAAAGCTATTAAATATTATTATAAATAATTGTAAATTAAACGAAGTAAATTCATTTATATTAAAACTAAAGTTTGATGGTATATCGTCAACTATTAGAACAAATGAATTTTAAGTAACGCAGTGGGTCTATTTAATTAAGAAAAGGGATTTCGTAAATATTAAACAATGAGAATAGGTATTCATTTCTTCCCTTAAATAAGTTAAAAGTAAAGGATGATATAACAATTAATAAATAGAATCTTCCAGAAGAAGTATTTGAGGTCCAGTCGCGGCCGAACATTATGACCGCAATTGCAAATGTGAACGAAATTGCGGACAAGTATTATGTCCATACTAACATACAAACTGATTGACTACGAGGAAAAGTTTCAATCAGAGAATTTTAGGGGTAACGTGAGAAAATAAGCTTAATAAATCTGAATAAAATATGTAACCACCATGGGCGAAGAAACTTGTAGCGCAACTTTCACATTGTTTTTGAAATTACTGAAAAACCGAGATTATTTAATCTATAGTTTTTATTTTTAACGTAAAATTTATTTTTTATAAGTAATTTATAACATACCAGTAACTAGATTCATGGTAATTTATAAAATACAGTAAATATACTTACTCGGGATCATGTAGTCACTATTATTTTTTTTTTTTATAATTCAGATTTAATACTAATATGTTTTAATCACCGATAATTCATAGAATACCGTTCTTATAATGGAAATTCTATTACGAATTTTTTAGATGTGATAATTCTCACCATATGTTTTCCTTTGCTTTCTTTATTGAATTAAATTCTTTAAGAATGTACTTTTTCATCAATCTCATGTATTCATTATATTTCACGTGCTTTTTCAAACGCGAGGCATTTTCTCAATGAAGGATCCGAAACCTTTTATGAAATCATGCTAAAAATTTAAATGAATACATTGTTGTATTCGGTGCTTTTGTTTATGTATTTTTAAACAATCTGTATTTGTAAGCAGAGGGATTTTATTAAAGGAAAATGAAATAACTATAATAATTATGACGTTTAATTATTTTAATAATATCAATTAGTCAGTGTTGACACTCTACACTTTTCGAAATGTCATTATATTCAACTAAATAAATGCTAATTAATTAAAACTACGCAAATAAATAAAATTAAAGATAAAATAAGAAAATCGGAACTTAAAAATAAACGAAGTTACAACGTTAAAATTAATGAGGTTAAAACGGCGAAAGCGATAATATCGCAAAGGAGAAAAAAGGTTTACGGTGTATATATGCAATAATAAAAAGGGCTGGCCGTGTATGTTGAGTTGTTTAAGAAATTCCAACACATATTTATAAAAAAGAAAAAATAAAATAATTAGAACACAATTTACAAAGCGAGGAGGAATTAAGATATTGAGATATATTGATTTTACTGGTAACGCATCACCCTCGAGAAAATATCCGGTCAGATGAAAATAAATAATTTGTGTATCGGATGATTTAATTGACAAAAAAAAAAAAAAAAAAAAATCCGTTTGCAAAGCCAACTAGTCATCTTTTAATTAAAAACTTGGTTGTTGATTATATTTTGCATTTTTATAAAATTATAATTATAATTATTATAAAATTATAACTTTAAATTTTAGATGTTTGTCAATTGTAAATGGATATCCTGATCATTAATTTTATTTAAAAAAAAAAAAAAAAAAAAAAAGAACGCGTGCATTCTTGGCAGCATCTCGTCAGCCATGGGTATTGCACAAACCTGCACGGTTAGCAATCTATGTATCTAGTTTTTTTTTTAACGTATGTATGGTATGTATGCTTTAAAACTATACATGTATGGTTTCTAATTCTGTACATATATATGAAAAAACCATACTATACACACATTGTTAACCGTACTGTCAGCAATAAATTCTTGTCTTGTTCACAGATTTTCGCTGTTGATCGATTGCGAAATTTATTCCATGATTTCTATGCAATGATCATCTGTCAGAAAAGAATTCTTCACAGCCACTTCTTTTGAATATAAATATATCTCTATTATCGCAAAATCTTGTCTACTAAAGTTTTTTTTTGCAAATTCTAAATTTTTCTTGAAAACGCTTTTTTGCTTTCAGCATGGGTAAATCACAACGCATCCGATATTTCTCTCAACGCCGATACAACCTTCGCAAAGTAGCAAGAAGAAACTCGTCAACAACGTCTCGATAGCTTAGAAATAGAATACCATCGTCAACGGCAGCTTAGGTTCAAGTTGCTCAGTTTTTTATTGAAAATAACCGACTAAATAATGAACCATACACTTCAGCAGTGCAGGGAGTATGGCTTCCCATTTCATGCTCAATTTAATGAATAAACGACTATTAATATTTTTCTTAGGGAGGGATGTCGTAGAAATGTTTGCTCGTCCTAGAACTACGTTTGTCGAGATAGTCTTTTCTTTTCATGTATCTATTTGTTTCTTTTGTATTTTTATGTACTGTATGTTTCTTTTTCAACTATTCAATAAAATTTTCCAAAGATTTAACTTTTAAATATAAATATGATGTAAATATAAATTTTCAATAATAATAAAAGGCAGTGTCACGGTATTGTCGCAGTGTTGCGGGTAAATTACTAAATTTATCTTCTAATAGAATTCTACCGATAACTAACCTTTGCTTTTAAAAACAAGTTGTTGCCATCAAATATTTACATAAGAATTTCGAGAAAAATTAATTTAGTACATTATTTTCTTTGAATTTGCGTGAAAAATACAATAGTTTTTTTCAAATTTTGAAAAAAAAGCTCATCATTTTCCTGTAAGTCTTAAAGATTTTTTCATCACCTTTTCTTGAATCAAGTATATAAACCTTATAATAATTCTGCTCTATTTATCCGAAAAATTTCCCAGCTTTGCTCTCAAACAAACGAGTTCTTAAAATGGGATTCATATTTAGCATAAAAATCACCATACGGAAAGCCTTTCAACTATATTAAACACATACCTTTTTTAAATGTAATGAAATTCGAATAAAACCAAAAAAACAATTTAGTAGCATACCCAGTAAAGTATATTAACGCTTTAACAATATTTAGTAATTCTAAAGTTGGCCTATTTAGTAAAAAAAAAAAATTATACTATATCTGCCGTTTAAGATCTGCTAAAGTATGAATAAAGTTTATGCAGAATTTTTTCGTAATTTTTAAATTATTTCGTTAAAATTTTTGGTTACAGAATTTAGTAGATGTTGAAAATTAGATGTCCGCTGTCAAGAATATGTGTATATTTACGAGTTGATGATTGCTCTCTTCCATATTTTTTTTTTTTTTTGTTATAATAAAAAGTGTCCTGTACCTTTATAATTTTATACAGAGAACTTTCTCATATCGTCTACTAGTTCCCATTCTCTATTTTTTTGTATTAACCGCTTATTTATTGGTGTATATCGTTCGTGCATTTAATTTAAGCTATTTTGGTAATTTAAATTTTTTCGAATGGCGCAGTTTGCAATATTTGGAGTTGTTTTTGTTTTTGTTAAGTATTGAAAGAGATTTTAGATAGTTAATATGTCCGATCTAGGAAAAGCTTGACGGATATTCACGGCCGCCGGATAAATTGTCCGGATCGCGAATCTAGTACAGTGCAACGTCGTCGTCATGTTACATTACACTTAAAATATAAATAAAATAAAACTTCTACTTACTTCTTTTTTATTCTTTTTATTTTTTTTTTTTTTTATAAAATAATAAACATTAAATATAATATGACTGCTACTGCTGATCGAACTCCTAATAATAAAGCCTTTGAATTTTTCCCTGGATTATCTCAAAATTTTTCTCAATTGCTTGATAATGACGATGATTATGATGTTGTTATCAAAGTTGGAGAAAATCCCAATACAAAAGAGTTTCGTGCGCACTCTATTATTTTGAAGTCAAGATCACCATACTTTAAAAGAGTTCTCTCACAGAAGAAAAACGATGTCATTAACTTGGAGAAACCAAACATTTCGCCTAAAATTTTCGAGATGATCTTTAGGTAAGGGTTTCATGTTTCTTTGTGAATTTTAAGAAATTAAACAATGATATTCCTAAATGTTGCGAGTCAAAATCCTGACAACAAATAATCTAAAGTTTGGACACTTTCCTTTTTTTGACTTTAGATATATGTATACAGGCATTCTTGATTTGAACGAACAAACTGGCTCCGATATTTTTGGTATTCTTGTGGCTTCTGATGAACTCATTCTTGAGGAATTGGCTATTTTTATACAAGAGCATTTGATTGAAAGTCAAAGTGAATGGTTACAACAAAATTTTGCTGAAGTAATACATGCAGTAATCAAAATGAAAAGTTGTAAACAACTTACAAACCAATTTTTAGAATTTATTTGTGAAGAACCCGAACCATTTTTTAATTCGCCAAAATTTTCAACGTTAGATAAAAGTTTCCTACTTGAAATAGTTAAAAGTAAAGATTTACAAATTGATGAAGTCGAATTATGGAATAATCTTATTAAATGGGGAATTGCTCAAACTTCGGAATTGAAAGTAAAGGATGCGAGTAACCTAAGTAATTGGAATAAACAAGACTTCTTGGCTTTGAAAAATACTCTGAATCAATTCATCGAACACATCCGATTCTTCGAACTTTCTTCAAAAGATTTTAATGACAAGGTTCGACCTTTTAAGAAAGTTTTGCCTAAAACACTCTTTGAAGATATTGTGACGTTTTATATGACAAATGATCAACAAAATATGCCGCCTCCTCGTAATGGAAGAATTGACGTTGATTCAACGATCATCAGATCAAAGCATGCGACCATCCTTACCAACTGGATTCAAAGGATGCTAAAGAAAAAATTCCAAAGCATAATAAATATAATTTTCAACTCATTCACCGCGGAAGTAGGGATGGATTTAATGTCACAATTATGTGTAAAAAATGTGAAAAAAAAGGAGCGTTTATTTTGATTATTAAAACTAATGAAAGTGATGCTGTAATTGGTGGTTATAATCATTTTGGTATCAAATTAAAACGCTATGGGTCTTGCGAATGGGTTAACACTACCGATAGTTTTATATTTTCTCTTGACGATAGAAAAGACTTGAAAATTAGTCGAGTTGCAAATCAAAATTATGCAAATTATGGGTTGAATTTTGGCGATAGTGACTTGGTTATTACTGGTAATGCTGGCACGTGCAAACAAAAATATTATGAAAGTAAAATTTTAGATACAGACAAGTTTACTATCAAAGAAATGGAAGTTTTTACATTCAAGGTCGAGTAATTTAAAATTATTTGTAAAAGATTTTCTTTTTATCATATTTTATTTTTGTTAAATTTTTAGCTTGTATTTTTACTATTTAAATTTGAAGTTTACCTAAAATTTTTTGGTGTAAATATTATATTATTAAATAATTTTATCAATAAAAATAGTTATTGTAAGAAATTCTAATGCAAGCTGGACGAAAATTATTTTTTAAAGAGGATACATCATTTTAAATGTTTATCATAATCTAATAATTTCGTGGCCAAGTACAAAAAAAAACAGTATTACATGACATGATAAACATATAAGCCAATCAATCTTTTTTTTTACATTCAAACTGAAAATTAATAATTCTAAATTAGTTAAATTCCCAACTGCGCCTTAATGGCTTATTTCTCTACGTCTCAAAATTTAAAAAGATGAAAAATCGCTGAATCAAAGCAAATATTTTGTCAAAATATTTATTTAATTAAAACTTCAAAACTATATAAAAAGATGAAAATTTTTTCACAGCCGGTATTAGAGGATTTTCTTAGTGCGAGCCGCATTACAAAAATATCATTGCGCCCAGATTTCTTGTAAACAAAATCTATGACTTCAAAACGCGTTCGATTTGAATAAGGGAGATAATTTAATGATTTATTTTACTAAAGAAATTTTAATTTAATTAATTTAATTAATTTTGATTAAATTCTATTTATACAGTATAAACATTTTATTATAAATATTTAAACATTTACATTATACGTTTTATTCAAATTTATTTGTTAAAAGACAGACTTGCACTGAATAATCTGCGAAGCCTTCTCTTTTTTAAACCATTTAAGAATTGAAACATAATTAAGGTTAACCTTTCTAGAATACTTCTTGTTAACAATGCTACATGTTATTTATTCGGAGTATTTATTTTTATTCTAGTATACGTCGCATTAAAATTTGTAAACGATGTTTATGAAAGTTTCAAGGACACCTTAAAAATGATTCTTTAAAATGGTTTGTGTAGCACATTAGATTGCATATAATTTGCTAAACAGAAAATAGAAAAAATTTTTCGTTTCTTGAAAAATGAATAGAAAGTCAAATCCAACTAGACTTTAAACCTGTTTGATAATCGTACAAAATTAATTCTTTAATTGACAGAAATTTGACTTGCAACTTGCTTCTGTTATTTTAATTGGCTGTAGAACCATTTTACAATTTTTAAAAAAGTATGTTACACGAAGTGGCTTTTTCTAAAATTGCTTTTTGGTGTAAAGTTTGACGTGCCGTAAAAAAGATGTCAAAAGATGAAAACTTGTTCGTCCGTCGCAAACATGAATCTTATTCATTGAGAAACTACAGGAGAATTCGTGATAGTGCATTACAAAGACATATTAAATCGGTTTTACATTTGCATCAAAAGGGAAGGGTGCACAAGAACAAGGAGCTCAAATCTGCACTCCCAAAAAGATATTAACCTGAATAAGAAGGATTACATATGATTTTTTACAAGGTGTTGAAATATAGGCCACATAATCGGCATTAAAAAGTCCGATTATATATTTTCTTTGAATAAATTTTTTTCTTTGTCGTTACTTACTTTTTTTTCTTTCTTTTTTTTTTTCTTTTAAAGAAAAAAATTCTTTTCACTAAATGCTAAAGTCATACGATCCTATTGTAACAACTTTTTTTAGACTAGTTCGGATGAGCTTCTTATATATATTTATAAACTTATTGCGTCGTTATGCATTTTTGATGATGATGGAACTTTTTTTCCAAATGGTTATTATTGTAAAGTTCTTAAGGTTTAATTGTTTGTCTAATAGGTTTCTATCATTTATACAAATTTGGTTGAATCACATTAAAAGCTGTGGATAAAACCTTTTATTAAATGTAATGATATCATACAATGTCATGACTATTATGAGGAGAATCTCCTTTACTTTCAATTTTGGAGGTATTTTAATGTTCATACAAATACAAACGTAAATTTTTTTTAAAAAAAAAAAAAAAAAAATATTACAAAATGACGGCTCGCTACAATTCTATGGAGAATAAAAGCACATTTCCGAATTTATGTGTCATAGATAATAAATGTTTTTTCTTTGTATCTGTATATTAATGATTTCTCGGCGATTTACCTAAAATATAATTGGAAATGATTGTAATTTTTTTTTTTTTCGGTGATGATAATGGACGAGTTCAATCAGACCGTAACAAGCACCGTATTTTAATTATTGAAAAAAAAAAAGATCTCAAATGGGTTAATTGAAAATATTAGTCATAAAATGAAACAATGACAGTAGCACAAAAAATATATAAAATAAATAAAATTATGTGGCAAATTACTTGAAGTTTTTGTATAAATGATAGAAAAACCTAAATTCCATTCATGAGTGGTAAATAAAAAAAAAACCCCAAGTATTATATCAAGTTATTTTTAATTCCGCAACTTCAAAGCTCTCTCCGAACATTCGTTTATTCGACAATCATTACCAAATATGAAAGGTTTGCATCATGTGACAAAAAAAAGTGTCAGAGGAGAAAAAAGGTTTGCTCAGCCAGAATAGATGATTAGGAAGCTCAGCCAAATTTTTTTTTTATTTTACGCCTCCCGTTCGTAGAATTTCTGTATACAACTTGCTTGATAAATTGATTTTTGTTAATTAGAATAAAGCGCGGTAGTTGCTCAATATCTTAATCGAAAATGGGAAAGTGGCATTAAAAATAAATAAAAAAAAAAAAAAAAAAGCGGAGTCATGATGTATATGGATGGATTTCGCTTTATATATTATATATATTACGCTACGCTACTATAGAAAATTTCCTCATATAAAGACTTCAATCACATCAAAATTTTTTTTTTTTTAGAATAAATTTTTTTTTGTTATAATCTCTTGAATCGTTAAATATATTATTTACCACATTAAAGATACCCGAATGAAGTCTTCGTATAGAATACTCGTTTACTTGCTGATATTATGTTTCGCGGTTTCATATGTTTATGGAGCACGAATCTTTGAAGTCTCCGACGTTGATACTCTAAACAACTCTTATATTATACAATATGAATCAACGTTAACCTCAAAGATCACGCTAGATAGAATCAAAAATGCTGGAATAAAATACACATTAAGACAAGATTTAGAAAACATCATGAACGGTATATCCGTAAAGCTTGAAAATCATGAGGATCTGCATAAATGTGCTGAAGTTTCTGGAATCATCAACATTTGGCCTGTGGTATGTTGTGATTATTTTGCATGTGGGGATTTTAAAAAAAAAACTTTGAGGCGATTCAGATTTGAATGCGTTGACTAAAAAAAAAACATTTAATTCTTTCCTTTCAGAGAAAGATGCATCCAAGATTATTTACTGCAGATAATATAACGGGCCTAGGCACATTTCGACAAAATAGTGGATTCGATGGTTCAGGAGTTAAAGTTGGAATCATTGATAACGGACTTGATTATATGCATCCAGCTTTCGGAAAGTGTTTCAAAACGCCAGGATGTAAAACGCAATTTGGTTACGACTTCGTAGGTGATGGAAATGTTGTCGATCCAAATCCCGACGACGACCCTCTTGAGACATGCGAAGGTCACGGGACGCATGTTGCAGGAATCATTGCTGCGGACGATCACGAAAGACATTTTACTGGTGTAGCCCCTGGAGGTAAATCAAATGAATTATGAAATGATTTGAATTTTAATTTAAATTCAACAAATAACGTTATAACTATTATTACTTTAGCTACACTTGGAATTTACAGAGTTATCGATTGTTCTTCATCAACTACGGATGACTTAATTATTAAAGGATTGGAAAAAGCGACCGCTGATGGGATGGATGTTATAAATATGTCTCTAGGAGGAAATTTTCAAGCTTGGGGCGACACACCACTTGGAATCGTTCTTAACGATCTGGCTCTTAAAGGCTTTGTCATTGTTGTTTCCGGTTCAAATGCTGGTGATAATGGATTATTTGCCGCAGGCAACCCTGATTCCACACCTAACGTCATAACCGTCGGTCACGTGGACAATTTTCAATTCTTTTCATTTGTGTTGAAACCGAGTAACGATCCAAAAAAGCTAATTCGTAAGTATCCATTCCATTCTTCTTTTCTTTCTAATGAATAAATTCAAACGGTTTAGTAAATAATTTTTTTTTTTCAATTTCGACGATAGCTTATGCTACCACACGTATATCTTTGAGGTTTCCATTTACTGGACCTCATCCAATCGTTATTGCAAACACCACAGAAAACGAACCCGAATTTGATGGTTGCGATCCATACAATAAATCTTTAAACGGCAAGATCGCTTTAATACGTCGTGGAGATTGTGATGTTCGATCTAAAATCGAAAATGCTGCAGATGCTGGCGCTACTGCAGTGATGTTTTATAATACCGATGATTCTTTACCGGGTACTATACCTTCATCAATCCATTTTCCAAGCTTATCAATCAGTAAAGTAGATGCTGAATATTTGAAAAAGCAAATTCGAAGGAATTCCAGCTTGACAGTTTCTTTTCCGGAAAAGGTAATTGTGATCCCACTTGAAGATGCCGGTAAACCTTCAAGATCAAGTTCGTGGGGTCCAACTTTTGATATGGATATTAAACCTGAAGTAATGGCACCTGGAGGTCGTATATTCAGTACATACCCAAGAAATTTAGGAAGTTATGCCACCATTTCTGGTAAGTGAACGGAATTTTTAATTTCAAGGAAAGGTAAACCTTTTTAAAAGAAATTATTTTATTTATTTTTTTTTTTTTGATATATTTATTATTTTAGGAACGTCGATGGCGGCAGCATATGCATCTGGAAGCATAGCACTTTATATGCAAGCAACGGGATTAAGGAGAGGAACGATCGATCCAATAAAACTTCGAGAACTTCTTACATATACTGCCAATCCAATTTACCCCGATTCAAAAGATGAAAACGCAAAGATTCCAATTTCAGTCGATAAACAAGGAGGAGGACTTATTGATATTGTTGGAGCAATTAAAGCAAAAGCACTCATTAAACCAAGCAAATTATTACTTAACGATTCAGCACATTTTAATGGAACTCAAACGATTAGGATAAAAAACACGGGGAAAAAGACTACACAGTTTACATTTTCGCATATTCCATCAGTTTCGGTAAGAGGATGGTTTGAAAATCAATGGGTTGATACTAGTTCATTCGTGATCGAAAAACGTTTTGCCGGGGTGAAATTCTCAAATAATTCCGTCATTGTGCGACCTGGGGTAACGGCCAAAGTGAAAGTTATATTCACCCAGCCCAAAAATTTGCCGAATGATTTTGGAATTTACTCGGGATACGTCACAATTAGCGATTCGGCTCAACATCAAACATATTCACTCCCATACTTGGGACTAAAAGGTGATTTACACTCGCTTCCCATTTTATCGAATGATTCGTATCCATTTATTGAAAGAGCTGATGACAGAGAACGTTTTGATCGAGAGGATCAAATTGCCCGTTTCACATTGTTTAAAGGAAACAAACGTGAAGACGTCCCAGTCTTTCTTTACCTCTTGAATTTTGGTAGCAGACTGGTCAAGCTAGAATTGTATCATAGAGGAGATTTTACTCAAACAGGATATCTAGGACTTTTGGAATTAGATCCAGATTTTATAAATCTTGATACTACAGCTCCTCGAAATGGTGGAACCGGAGATTTTCGAGATACATTTAAAATCTGGAGTTCTGGCGCGGTTTCAGACATCAATGGGAATGTCATTGTAGTACCGAATGGACAATATCAAGCCTTACTTTCAGTATTAAGACCTTTTGGAGATCCAAATAAACAGGAAGACATTATGACTTGGAGATCTCCTATTATTGAAATTGCGCGGCGATAATTTTTTTTTTTTTTTTTCATCACATAATTACGAGAATTTTGTAAATATTAATAACAAGAATAAAATTAAATAAATAAATAAATATATATACATCCGATAAACAGTATATTAGATAAAATAAATACGCGTTTATTTTTACTTTTTAAAAAAATTTTTCGATATGCGAAAATCACGAGCCTGATTTTTAAAAATTTTAGGATAAAAAAAAAAAATTTTTTTCACGTAATTAGGCATTAATTGTTGGTCTGACTTCATCCTCAATGTTACCACCTCTTCGTAAATACATCCAACCCAATCTGGCAGCATATATCAGATACAATATCGCCATCAATAACGTGCAAACCATTTCCCTAGTTTTCCACGTCACAAAATACAACAATTGACTATTGATGAATTGTGTATAAGCTATGAAGAAGAATAATATGGTCCAAATGGTCGCTTCCCTCCACACCAAAGAATGTGTTATAGAAGACAAATACCAAGAAGTGGGAATCAATATGAAAAAGGGATGTATTGCGTAAACGGAGAACAATAAAATGTATAAAGTTGGTCGTCTCTTTTCATAATCATCATCATCGTCTCCTCCTGGTGGTGGTGGTTGGTTATCGGGGTGATCGTCGATTTTTTTATTAATGTAAAACAAAGATATCAACGTAACCATGGCCAAGATGACAAAAATGAACATTCCACATATCGCAATTCTCTTTTCGGTTTTTCTACGAGCATTAAAGACATTCCTATTGTTTAGGATAGGCGTGGTTTCCGTAGCGGTGGAAAGATATGACTTCATGTAATGCTCGGTCAAGAGTTTATGATAAAGATAAAATATGACTACAAGTTGTCCGATGGATGAAATCCCAAAGGTACTTAAAGAGAATGAATAAAACAATGAACCAAAGGTAATTGCAATTATTCCTTGTACTATTGACCATATTGAAAGGATAATAAATAAGATGGTTATAGGGATCGTATATTTCCGTTCACCTGAAAGTTCGGAACGCTGTTGAGGCATTTTTTTTTTTTTATTTTCTTTGGGTAATTTGATTAGAAAGGACTCACGAATTTGTAAAAAAAAAAAAAAAAAACTTTTTTCAGAGGGAACGATAAATATTAAATCGTATTGTGATGATCGACTTAATCAAGTTAACTGCTTTAATTTAATGATGATGATGTAATTTTCATAATGATACAATTATGAACAAAATATAAATGACATAAAAAAGTGTCATTCTATTGGCGCAGTAAATATTAAATAAAATCGGAATTTTTCAAGAATTTTATTACTCCTCTTTTCATGATTAAAATAATTGGTTGGAAAAAGGTCAGTTATTATTCTCTGTCTCGATCATTAACAATATATATATATATATATATTAAGTATGAAATTGAATCATACTTCGATAATCGAATTCGTGCATAATTTGATAAAAAGGAATAATTATTTATTTAGAGTTGAAGGTATAGTCAAATTCTTGTTGCTAATCACACAGTTTTTTGACATAAAATAATTTAAAAGATAAAATTGTTCCTCGTTAAAGTTCATTGATCGTTCTATAGATTTACTCCTCCTCCTCTTCTAAATCTTCAATTTCATTACTATAACTAATCTCGCCTTCAATCTTCCCTCTCCACCAATATATCCATCCAAAATTAACAGCAAATACCACAAACATTACTGCGATAATCAACGTAAAAACTACTTCTTGCAATTTCCAAGCTATAAATAACACCAATTGGCAATTGATGAAAACTAGATAAGCGATAGAAAAGAATAACGCTGACCAAACAGTTGCTTCTTTCAACGCTTCGGATTGTTTGGAAATGGATAAATACCATAAAGAAGGAATCAGAATTAAATAAGGATGTAAGACGTATATACCAAATGCTAACAGTTGCAGAGGTAGTAGTACATCATCATCTAAAGGAGGAATCGTTCCTGGTGGTAACGGTTTCTGATGATCTTTCTCTTGATATTTAACATAAAACGCAATAAAAGTAGTAATTGTTGCAAATATCATAAAAATGATAATACCGAATAAAATAATATATTTTTCGGTTTTTTTACGAGAATTGATGTGAATTTCAATTTCAAATAATTCAATTGCCTCCATAATAGTGTGGATTCGTGATCTTTCGTAGTGTTCTGTTAAGAGTTTGTGATGAATGTAAAGAATAATTACAATTTGTGCGAAAGAAGAAATACCAAATGCAACTAAACATGGTGAATTAAAGTTTGATCCAATGTGAAATGAAATTATTCCTTGTGCCGCTGACCAAATTATAAGAATAACGATCACGATGCATAATTTGAGAGTATATTTATTTGATGATCTGATAGTCAACTGTGATGTTTGAGAAAGATCATTTCGTGGAAATTCTTCATACATTTTATTTTTTATTAAAAAGGGAGAGAGGGAGAAAAGAAACAAAAAGAAGGTAATTTGAGAAAGAAATCTCCACTAAATTTTATTATGAAATTTGAAAAATTTGGTTAACGCCAAAAAATTGACGTAGTATAAATGTAATAAAATTACATTGCGCCGATCATACTGTTCTATTTAGAGAAATTTCTGGGAGGAACCAAAAGTTATTTAATTACGAACTTACATAAAAATATCTAATTATTTTTATTTTTTTGGATTTGAATTTTTTTGTTTCTTATTTAACGGGAATATTTAAAGTGAATTGTCTTTTTAAATCTATAAAATTAAATTCGGTAATATTTATTATTTTATACAATTTTGTTTAGATTTATATATTTAGTTAGACGTTTTTAAGTAAAAAGGAAGGAAACTACAAAAAAAGATTTTTACTTTATGTGCTATGGGCTGGCCCATATATATGATTTCTCTTTATTGTAAAACATCCAGTTAATCTATAAATAATTACATTTTAAAATTCTTGGTTAGATTAAAAATGAATTAATTATAAATTAATGTATTAGATTAAAAAAAATTTTTTATTATCCTATAAAGCAATTATAAATGGTTTAACTAAATTTGCCAATTCTAAAAAATTTTTTTTTAACAATATTTTTTATTTTTTTACAATTCTACTCTTTTTATAATTATTAAATTCTATATTTTATAATAAAAAATCAAAATTTTATAAAAATATTATTAAATATTTCTTAAAATAAATTAAGTAAAAAAAAAAAAATTTCTTAATTTTAATTATAATAAATAATAAATTATATGATCTATTATTAAATTTTATATTAAATAAAATTTTATTTATTATTATTATTTTCTAAAATATTTTAATTAATTCATTATAACTTTAGCAGTAGAAAAGATAAGCAGATTTAAAGTGTGAAAAAATATATTTTTAAGATTCTAAATTTACTTATTTAAAAAATTAATTCTATTTCTATATTAAAAATTATATATATAATATAAGTATAAAATATCAATTTATAGTCTTTAAAATACTAAAATTAATAAATATTATTATTTAAATTTTAGATTGATTTTGAAATTAAAATAGTTTAATTGATTCTTATATTCTAAACATTATATAGTAAGTAGTATAGAAATGGGCTTTTTGGCACAAACAACTCGAATGGCTTCAGAAGGTCATCCTGGGTATTACAATTTCTTATATCGATTTTCTCATATCAAATTCCTAATGAAATAATACTTGAAAGCCTAAGATCACCAATTCACTTTCTTGACTAGCTTTTATTCTGTAATCGCTTGTTTCCAAGTAGTAAAAAAAATTTTGCTTTTTGGCACAAAAGCCCAAATGTGTCCAGAAGGTTATCCTGGATATCAAATTGCCTCCCATTAGCATACTGCTTAGATAGCAAGAGAGAACAAGCATGAGGAGGAGCAGAGCGACGACGAATGCGCGTTCAATATAGGAGAATAAGTATGAGTAAGCAAAGCCCTTTAGGGCGACACCTATGAATACGCATTCGACAGGAGGGGATAATAGCAGGAATATGAGCAAAGCCCTTTAGAGCAAAGCGAATATGGAAGCTATTATCCCCGACCCATATGCTATCTTATTTAATGTATGCTATTATATGAGGCAAATATGAAAACAAATAGTGTTCACACTCTGCAGAGCACCGAAGGTGCGGAGCATATACACAAGATATAAAAACAAATAGTGTCCACACTCTGCGGAGCACTGAAGGTGCGGAGCATATACACAAGATATGAAAACAAATAGTGTTCACACTCCCTTTTCTTTACATTGTTCAGAAAAAGATAAATAGGGTTTTCTGGCTTCGAATTTATGAGAAAGCGGACATGAAAAAAATCAAGTGATATAAATGATCATACATATTGTATTCCTGTCACTAGCCCGCTATCAGCCTGAATTTTTGCAAGCTTCTGACGTTGATAAAAATCTCGAATGCGATATTTACCTGCATGTTTCCTACAAGCACTATAAATAGAGAAAGTCAATTTTTCGCATTCTATACATGGAATTCGTCTAGAAGATTTCTAATGGATTTTACACCCTTCTGGCCGATAGCACCCCTCATTACACACTTTTCCAGTCCTAAGAATATATGGACATTTATAAAACCCCATTCTAATAGTCTTTTCTTTTTGAATAAAAATATAACTCTAATTATCTGAATAAATTAATTTTCATTTTAAACTTTTTGTAACTATATATACTCTTTGAGAAAAAATGAGCAGAATACTAGGTAGTATCACCGGTGCATTAGGACGATTATTCAGAAACTTTTGGGAAGATCTGACACCACCTGAGTTACCTGAGCCTTCTGAACCCCCCGAACAAGAAGTAGAGCCAGAGTCAGATGGGGAGAGCGACTACAAGACCGCTTTAACTTGTCAAAATACTCAAAATACAGAAACAAAATGGTATTCAGCAATTCGAAGGTTTCTATTCTAGAAAAAGCAAGGTAAGGATGTTGAGTTCTATAATGGGAGTACACAATGGATTGGTTCTGAAAATGAGTTCTGAGATTTATCACGAGACTGGTTTTTAATCAAAGCCAAT